AAAAATGTAACAATTTTATGTGATTTTAACAATAAGCTTGTGAAACGACGGAAAATAAAAGTATTGTAATAACAATATGAAAATTAATCTGAATTTTTTTGTGGTAAATAACAATCATGTTGGATTTTTTTTTTACATTCTTCTTGTAAGAAAACAGAATCCTGTGTCTGTCTATTTACATACTGGAATGTTGCTGGAAGTACTTTCCATTGCATGTGGGTTTCCTTAATTCCAAGTCAGAACCAACTCAGAAAAGTTTTCTGATGTCACTATAGTCCCGCTCATGTGTTCATCTCTGGCAGTTGAAGGGTCCAGTGAAAAAATGTGATGGCTCCAGGTTTGACTGAAATTGTTTCTTCATGCATAAAAAGATCACTCATGTATGGGTGGAAGAATACCATGACTTTAACCATTAGTTTTCATTAATATGTGAAAATAAATGCCATATTGAGGTTTAAGTACGAGTTTGAATTTTTAAACATGTTTTTGTAGCATTTGAAAAATATGTTAAAAAGAAATCACATTCTTGTACTGGATTCTTAAAGTATGAAATGTGACTGTTTGTGGTGCACATGTTTTTAGTCCAACAAAACCTTTTCTTAATATTTAAGTGTATCACCACATGCCACCTTACCACCATCATGTCTTAGTAATGCTGGCAGAAATTTATTCTTGTTATCGCATGTTGAGACAAAATTATTTGATTATTAACATTGCTTACTACCTTACTACCTTTATGGGCAGTAAGCTGTGTCCAGGCTTAATAAAGATACAGTCTGATTCACTTTAAGGTGCAACAGTAAGAGCCATAAAACCTGTTTCAAAGAAATTTCAGTGTTCTACATAAAGGACATTTAAAGCCACTACATTTTCATTTAGTGGTCTCATGTTGTTGCACTGTGAAATATTATGCCACTTATGCTCTTTCAGAACAGCATGCTGCCTCCATCTTAAGGGTTGGAGTAGGATTTTGGTAGGCTGTATAAAGGTGTTACTAATTTATTTCAGACATTGAAAATTTCAAGTTCTTTATTTTTGTTGTAGTGATTATAAGCAGTCACAGTTCACACTTTTTACGCATGCCATGCAAATCTGGCTACTTTATGCCGATGCTTCGGGATCTAATTTCTGTCATCGTTCCCAGTAAAATGTCATATGAACATGGTCTCATTCTTAAAGGTTATGTAGCTATGGATATTTGAAACTCAGAAGCGAGAACGCGATTGAAAGCAACAACAGAAACCATATGTTACGACGGCCGCACTGACCCGCCTTCCGCCGCTACCAACCCCGCTTGCAGAACGAACGTGTCGGTTAAAACCGCTAACTACCTCGCGGGATACAACCAAAATCGGTAGTGTGTAGCCTTGCGTAATTTATCTTGAGTGCAACTACGACAATGGAAGACGTTTTGTTCAGCGCAGTACAGACAACTCTCCGTTTATGAACGAGTTCCAAGATGTTTGTTATGTATATCTTGCATCAGGTGTCGAGGCAGAAGCCATTGTATAAAGTGTTGAAACGTATTAACGTGCGTGAAGGGTATGCAATACGTTTTATTATAATGTATGTGTTATGGTTTATTGTAGACTTTACGTAACGTAAAATAAAATAATAAAAGAATAATAAATCATGATATTGTACTTGTTAATTTTAATTAGAAACTTAAAGAGTTACAAAATAGAAATAAAGAAAATTTCTAGGTTAGTTTTATTAACCAAGAGCAGTTCAGTGTAATTATCATATTATAATTATTGTAATAAGTAAGTTTTTGAAAAAAATATTTAAATCTTACAATTATGTTCATTTCGTTTTATAAGGATCTATTGGCGACAGAAATTTTGAATGAATTGTGACGTTCATTATAGCGAATGTTCGTAAACCGAGAGTTGCCTGTAATGGACACGTTTAAATCATCTATTCTTTTGACCACTGACATTACTTCTTTCAAGTGATGGCAGTTTTGACATTTTCATTTTTCAGAGTTTATATACACTTTTCTTCTGGATTACCTTGCGTCAGTTTATGCAAGAACGCTTTGAGAGACGTAACACATCTGCATTGGAAGACGTGGCTGCACCTTTACAACCAGAGGTAAAATGTAACATGTTGTTTCATGATGTACAGAATGTGGACATGAGGACCACTGCATGAACTTGTGGCTGTATTGTAATTACATTTGTAATTTTCATTGTGGAGGTAATGAACTCCATGGTGCTCAGTCAGTCTTGAAAAGTTGATAGTTGCCAAGAAATGCCTTTATTTGATATTAATGTGTTCACAAAAGCCCACCACTAGATACTATCCTGAACCAGCTCACACCCTCAAGACATTATTTCTTTAAGCTGTATCTTAGTACAGTAGGGCCCCGCTTTTCGGCGATCCGCTAATACGGCGCTCAACAGCTGAGTCAGAGAAGTGCGTCCGGCACCATTTTCTCGTCGCTGATTCAGTCTGTTTACAGCTTTTGTGCGCTCCGTGTGTGTCTGTATTTCTGGCAATTTTCCAGTTATTACAAACTGTATATTTATATAATATTTTTGTGTTACTACAGTGTAATTACAATGGCGTCTAAGGGTAGTAGCGATAAAAAGAGGAGTCGTAAGCCTCTTACTTTAAATGCCAAGTTAGAGATGATTAAACTTCGTGAACAAGGCATGTCTATGTTGGATGTTTGAATTATAATATTTAGAACTGAAAATTGTAATAGCGGAGGGTTCTAGCATAAACCTCAGAACCTGGGTAAATTGTTGTTACAGGTTTTTCAGATACACAGGAAGCCAAGCAGTCAAGTCAGGCCATGAACTGGCTGCGTGACCTTTTAAGATTGTGCTGGCAAAATTATGGATTTGGGTGGAAGCGATAATGCTGTTTGTGATAGGTCTCAGTGGATTTCAAATGACTGTATATCGCATTATCTATATGGCACTCTTCCTTATCTTTAAAAATAATTTTCTTTCCTTAAGTATTATTAACAAAGAATGTGTGATGGAGAAGTCATGTCCATCTGTCAAACCACAACTTTCCTTCTTGAAAACTAGTAATTAAATTTTGATGAAACTTGGTTTTAAAGTTTAAAGCAGAAGTTGGCTGGTGATTAAATTCTTGTCTGTGTATATTCAGTGTAATTACTACTTTACGTGAAATTCAGTTTTCTTCTCATATTTACAAGTTTTTAATTGCCTATCATGTAAATATTGGTCCATAACGTAAGCTCTGTTAACATACACAACATTTATTTGAACAATTGTATGATGCATTTAATGAAATATATAAATAAGTAATTTTGGATCCTGTGCAGTGGCGTATCTGTACTTTGATTTAACTTTATAGTGGGAAATATGTACTTCATATAAATTAATATCAAAGCCAGTGTTATATGCAACTGTTTGTGCAAGTGTCAAAGTGCTCCTTGCATA